GTAGACCTGCTGGTCCTCCAGACCTGCTGCTCCTGTAGACCTGCTGGTTCTGTAGACCTGATGGTTCTGTAGACCTGCTGCTCCTGTAGACCTGCTGGCCCTGTAGACCTGATGGTTCTGTAGACCTGCTGGTCCTCTATACCTGCTGCTCCTGTAGACCTGCTGCTCCTGTAGACCTGCTGCTCCTCTAGACCTGCTGGTTCTGTAGACCTGCTGGTCCTCTAGACCTGCTGCTCCTGTAGTCCTGCTGCTCCTGTAGACCTGCTGCTCCTCTAGACCTGCTGGTCCTCTAAACCTGCTGCTCCTCTAGACCTGTTGGTCTTCTAGACCTGTTGGTCCTCTAGACCTGCTGGTCCTCTAGACCTGCTAGTTCTGTAGACCTGCTGCTCCTGTAGACCTGCTGCTCCTCTAGACCTGCTGGTCCTGTAGACCTGCTGGTTCTGTAGACCTGCTGGTCCTGTAGTCCTGCTGGTTCTGTAGATCTGCTGGTCCTGTAGTCCTGCTGGTCCTGTAGGCATGCTGGTCCTTCCCTTTTTCAGTAATAAACCAGTAAAGCGTTCCCCCGTTTAGGTTTTAGACTGTGAAAAACTGACGGATCTTCTCAACGTTTATAAACTGCAGTTTATTAAAACACGAGTTTTTCCTTCCGTAAAGTTTCAGGAAACGTTCTGTGTCAGTGTTTGCAGAACGTTCCTGCGTTAGTTTGTGTTTTCTGAAAGTTCCTTCACTCGTCACTTGAGTTGGGGCGGCTGTGGCTCAGTGGTTGGAGCAGTCGTCCTCCAGTAGGAGAGTTGTGGGTTCAAACCCCACAGCAGTCACATGCCAAAGTGTCCCTGGGCAAGACACTGGACCCCTCATTGTCTCCGATGTGTGTCCTGTCGGTGCATGAATGTGATAAAGTTCTGATTATTATTATTGTAGAGATCTAGTATAGAGCTGTATGACTGAGACACAGGTTGTTGTAAAGAGCTTTGAGTGTCTTGATAAGGAGCTGTGTTAGTACAGTCCATTCACCATTTGGTTTAAACTGTTCATATATAACTAGTTATTTGCAGGCAGCTAGCTGTAGCACTTCCTGTGCACGCTGTAGGTTTTGGGACTGGAAATGTTTTTAGATGCATTTGATCTCAGCTGTGTTCAGACTAGCCTTTAGCTCATCAGTCCTGTCAGAATTAAACCGTATTTCTCCAGATTTAGGCAGCTTAAGGAGCTATCTGCAACAGGTAAGATATTAACTGTTCATAATGTCTCCACACAGCCCTTCTGACGCACGCGTCACATTAATTAAAACCTTGTTTTTATTCTGTGTGATCTGAGTTCTGGTCTGGATCAGTGTGTGTTTAACTGAGCTGCAGGAGGAGCCGCTCCGTTCAGTTTAAGCTTATGAAGATTTTAAAAGAAGTCTCTAAATTTAATTTAACGTTTCACTGGAAGAGCTTAGATCTAATGGTTCCTCTTTGTGTTGAAGGCTTGAGCTCCAGGTGTCTGGTCTGCAGTCAGCAGGTATCAGGACACTCCTCCACAGGCTGAAACTCACATGTTTTAAATCTATTTTAAATATTTTGAACAGGCACAAACTGGATTACAACAAAAGACACAATAAAAACACGAAGTTGACTGCCACACTGCCAAATGAATATTTTAATAAAAGTAGATGATGATGTGATAATAATGTTTTTGTCGTGTGTTTGTGTGTCTGTTTGATAACATGAATGGATTTGAATAAAACTCACAGAAAGTAACCACTACTGATCAACTCGTGACACGAGTCTAACTCAACGTGGCTGCCACAGCGTGTGGTAGTAGCTGAGAGTCATTCGTAACACGTGCATGAGCGTCAAGGTTTGACCCGAACAGCTTCAGCTCGGCTGCTTCTCACATGATGGTCATGGAAGGCGGCGGGCGACAGGCATTCCTTCAAGGAATTCTCAGCTTTCATTTAGATTCTGACTCAAAGGTTTTAGTTTCTTTAAAATAAAATATGAATTTTTGATACCTGATAAAGGTTCTGGTCCAGCTGAACCTCACCTGAACACACCTGAGCCCGTCTCTTCCAGCCTGGAAGGCTTTAAGGTGCATCTGAACGTTCTGAACGGCTCCATCGTGCCTGAGCGTCTTTGTTCTTTGTGCTTGTCTCCACAGACGGTGAAGGGAAGAAGTAGGACCATGTGACCCCGTCTCACGTGGGGAACGGCACGTTTACCGCACATCAATTCCTTGGTGTTGAATAAGCTTCGCCTCGCTGAGAGGCAGAGAACAAAACACGGACAAACCTCTTTCATTTCTTTGTAAAGACGGACCGCAGTTTTATAAAACGTCCCAGGGGAGCAGAGGGACAGGAACCAGGACCGGGACTTTCTGTATAAATCCTCCCAGTTTTGACGTTGTGCATAAAACAACACGTCTCAGAGCACGCTCCGCTGTGGCGTTGGTCTGTATCAAACGCACATTTACTGTAGTGGAAGAAGATGATATGGCTGAATGTACCGAGAAGAAGATTTTATAAACTCCTGCGGGGACAGAAACAGGAAGCTACAAAGTCTATAATTCTCCTTATTGTTCTCTCATGATTATTGAAGTGGTCCTCCTCCCTTCATAGTGCCCGCGCTACATTTGTATTACTAAGCTGTACTTGAGCGTAACCATGTTGATTGTATTGTCTTTATGTGAGAGTAAACCTTCACATCGACCTACCCGGTGCCATTTAGGAACCCCAGTGGTGTAAATATTCTGTACAGATTTATGGCAGAGCACTAACGTGCTTTATTGTGCACTGTTGATCACCATCAGCTGTGCAGGGAGGGCAAGGCAGGGACCTCCAGCAGGAAGCACAACCACCACCTCTTTGCTCCTTAGCTTCATTTTTCACTTTACTTTTCTGTTTGTTTCTGCCGCCTTTCACTTCAGGTTAAAGTGTTGCATTGAATTCAGAGAGGTTCTGTCAGAAAGTGGAGATCTCTGTGTGTCCACTCGTCAGTCCCAAAACGAACGAAGTCCGTCTCACACTGCACACCTCTAAAATGCTCTTACAAACCTGACGGTAACTTGTGTCCCAGTGTCTGTGGGACGCAGCGGGGGCCGTGCATTTTACACCGAGGCCTTCAGTGGTGTCCTGCCTGAGTTGATCCACATCTTAATACCGTCATTACGTCGCCACGGCTACAGAAACCATCACTAACACACAGAAACATGGAATAATAGGGCGCAGCATCACAGATTAAATGCCACGACTAAACCAAGAAACCCAAATCACACAATTCAACAAGCTGCAGCCACATGCGTCAATATGTACGTAATAAAATTACTATAGAAAATATGAATACAATGCATTTCACTCACCAACAGTTTTAATTATCTGTACACAAACTCAGCACGGTGGAGCAGTTGGTAGAGCTGCTGTCTCTCAGCGAGAAGGTTGCCGGATCGAATCCTGACCGGGGGCTTTTCTGGGCGGCGTTTGCATGTTCTCTCTGAGCTTTGGGTTTTCTCCGGGTACCTTTGCTCTTTCTCCTGCTCCCACCAAAACCAGTTCAACTCAGAGCCTTTGATGAACTCGCTCAGTTTTTACCTCTGGTGATTTACCACTGCCAAACTTAAAAAATATCACATTTAACTTTTAAAAACCCCGTGTCTCAAATTAAAAAGGAAGCTCGGTTGATTTTTGATGAAACAGGAAACCCGTGGAGCTGTTTGTGGTCTCAAGTTCAAATGTACTTTTGTAAATACTTTCATTGCCAACAGTGAAGCCCTGAGTTCTGCATGTTTGCACATATATGGTTGCAGGAAGTTGGACACGTTTAGTAAAACTTTGTGCTCCGGCTCTTCACAAGCTTCCACGTGGCCACGATTCAGAGAATGTGACGACGGGACGTGGGGTCGTTAGACTCCACGTTGTTCGTGTCAGCCGAGACGTACTGAAGTAACACCCTAACATGGCCGACAACAAGCGTCCCCAAAGCCGGACTGGACCAGTCAGCGGCTCTGCCTCACTTCCACAACCTTTTACCTGCATCGTATCAGTGCTCATTCTATTACTTGAAGGGATTCTGTTTACAGAGCTCTGTCGACTTTCGAGAGACGCCGTGTTGTCTTATAAAGGCTGCTTGGTTTGTTCACTTCATCAGCTGATGCGTTCAGTAAAAAACAGAAAACATCAACCCTGCTGTTGCTTTTTTATACTGTATATGCCTTAATTCATATGTTTGGCAATCATGATTAAAGGATGTTTATATATACATGCTTGTGTGAAACATTTTCTTCTTTTTATACATATTTTTTAATGTTTCAAACGACATTTGTTGTTTTACAAATACAGTTTGTTTCCAAATCAGTAGTTCAATTAATTTCAGTTTATACATGTAGCCCAAGTCACAACAGAAGTCATCTCAGGACACAATGACGTTCACATACATATGAGTTATATTTTTAAAATGTTATTATATAATAAAAGCCAATTAGTAATAGTTATCTACGGAAGCCAACAGATTATGCTGAGCCTTCATTTCGTCGCGGTATCCTGAGCGAGCACAAAGGCGACAGTGGAAAGGAAAAACTCCCTTTTAACAGGAAGAAACCAGCAGAACCAGGCTCAGGACGAGCGGCCGGTAGTCCACCTGCTTTCAGTTCTGGGACATCGTGAAACTGATCTGGTCTTGACTCGGCTCCAGACCTCAAGAGACCAAAAAGACACAGATTCATTTATTTCACAAAAACTGCTTTTGTCACGTTCTGTCGGTTAGAAGTCGAACCCAAGTGCAGGCACACCACGGAGACTCCATTTACAAGTAGAAATAATTTATTAACAAAAACAAAAACCTGACAGGGCGGCAAACTTACATTAAACGCTGGGGGCACAGAGGGAAGATGGAGCTGGACAGGAAAATGCCCCGACAACACCTGAAGGACAAGCGGAGGTAAGAGCGGATTACACGAGGGAACACAATCCTCACAGGCTTAAGGTCCTGACCCAGCACCTTGTAGAACTCTCAGTGGTTTTCTGTAGGACATGAGTCTCTCATGGTTGTGGAGGAGTTTTAACCCACTCTTCTTTCCAGCGTTGCTTCAGATCATTGAGGTTTCTGCTCAGCTCTCTGAATGTCCCAACATAACGTTTCAGCCAGTTCCACATTCTGGACTTTATCTACGTGAACTCTGACCTTTGTTCTGCTCTTTTAGACCCATTCTGTTGTAGATAAGCGGCTGCCTTTGGGATCATGGTCCTGCTGGACCTAATTTGATCCAGACTTCAGCTGTTGGACAGATGGACTCACATTTGACTCCAGAACCTTTTGGTCTACAGAGGAGTTCATGGTCCACTCGTGGCTGCAAGGAGCCCAAACCATCAGCCCTCCACCACCGTGCTGACAGCTGGGATGAGATGTTTGTTGCAGTGCATTTTGGGTAAAAATCTGTTTTTTGTCTGGTTTTGCCCCAGACGTTTTCTGGTTCCTTCAGATGAAGATGAAACTCTCCAAACAGAAGTCATGATGCCATCTTGTTTTTAGAGAGAGGAGGTTTTCTACTGCAGCTCGTCCAAACAAGTTGTGACCTTTGACCTTTGATCTGCTAACTGAGGCCTGTAGAGTCTGAGATGGAGCTCATTTCAATAAATATTGCACAATTTAACCTTCTGGAGGAAGCTGCTGGGACGTTCCCTCCTGTGAAGATGTCAGCCTTCTGAAGTGTTTTCCACATGTGAGTAGTTCTCTCTGTAGAACGATGGGCTCCAGGTAGTTTGAAAATTACTTTTGACCTTTCTCAGATTGATGAGCAGCAACAGCTGCGTCTCTGATGTCTTTCCATCTTGGTGTCATGTTAACACATCTGGATGCTTCAGAGCAGCAAACTGATGAAACTTACATTTTAGGGTTTACTTATGGTTCCTAGAGTTTTTAAAAAAGTAGAATGGGAGGCAGAGGTTTCAGTTGTCAGGTTAATTTCTTGTGCAACCAACTTCCAGTTTCTGCTTGTGAGTCTGACACATTGTTTACTTTATGACTCAATACTTTCCTTTCTGATAAATCCTATAGTTAGTTGGTTGATGTAGGTGGAGGTGGATGGAAAGTGTTTGCTCAATAGCCAAACATTTTCTGAACACATTTTATAGAGACCTGCCTTATCATATTAACAATTCTGAAGGCTATCATTATTTATGTTATCTTCAAAATTAAAATATTTTATTTTCCTTTCATGAGCATGTGTTGTGTTTAATTCTACCTGTATTTAATAGTTGTGTTTTTATTTGTATTATTTTAATATCTAGTTTATTTAGCATGTTTTTGTAACTTTTATGTGTACCAAACACAAAACAACTATTGTTTTTTTTTTGTTGTTGCTGTTTTATTTTTTATTTTTTTGTAACGTTCTCTATGACTTCTGGTCCTGTTTTGTTCTGTAGTTCCAAATTTAACCAGCAGGGGCGCTCTAATCCGTCTCCAGCCACAGTTTGGTGGTG